GCCAGAACGTCGTCACCATCCTCAACCCGCCGTCTCGTGTGAGTGGCCAAGCCCGACAGACAACCAACACTGTGTACTTGTGGATGCCCCTGTGTGTGTGTGGTCTCAGCGTGTGTGCTTTCCGGCGTTGCAGTGCTCCGTTGGCGACAAGGTGGTGATCCTGCAACATGGGGCCGTCAGGACGCACACTCAGGGCGCGTCAGTGCTCGTCAGGGCATACGGACAACCGCACAGAGAGGGGTAAGGGCACACACACACACACGTCACCGCATTGTATGTCCGGCAACCACACTTCAGCTACGTGAACTTCGCTGATATCGGTCTGCCTATCCCCCACAGCAAGACACGACAGGTGAAGACACAGTCTTGCTGCACGATGGCCTCTGTGTGTGTGGGTGTCACTGTGTCTCCTGCACTGCATGTGTGTGTATCTGTGTGCGTGTTAGGTGTGGAAGAAGCTGGGGCATCCGGTGCTCATGAAGGAGTGATCGGTGTCAATCGACTCTGACAGAGACGAGCAGACACTCATACAGACAAACAGCGAGGAACAGACAGTCAGACAGAGACAGCAGGCAGCAGACAGACAGTGAGAGTGCATGGACGGAGACACAATTGAGTGCATACATGAAGGCGCTTGAGACAAAATGGATGGATGTTCAGAAAACTGTCAAAGATCGTGACGGTGCTGTGACGGTCGGCGGGGCAAATGTGTCTGGGTTGACGAGAGAAAGGGATTTAAAGAATGGGCGTGTTTCAGCGTAAAGACTGGCATACTGCGGGTCCGCGCGAACCATCCACCCACACACATGTACACACACGTACGTGCACGGCAAGAGAAAAAAGGACAAACGACCAACAAGACAAACTCTGCACATCCATCCCCCCAGCCAGCCAGCCAGCCAGCTAGCTTGCTAGCTCCTGGCCCCTCCGACCAGCGGGGAGCCAGGAGCTCCCCTCGGCACAACACATTCCTCGCCCCTCCTGGCACGCGCACACTCCCCATTCCTCGGCGACATGCGAACCCCTGCAATACACACCACACACCACACACACGTGAACACACCAATATCGGCGCAAAATTCCTTTTGCCCCCTGTCTGTGGATGTGAGTTGATCAACCTTGACTGCATGCAGTTGCCTTCCGCTTGAGCGACACGGGTGGCGTGTCCAGCATTATCAGGTCGTCGTCATCCGAATGCTGGACGGGGGGTGGGGGTGGGGGTGGGGGTGGAGAGGGGGCGGCAGGGGCAGCGGCCGCAGCAGCACAGGGCTGCTGCTGTGGCCGGACGTCCCACCGGTCGCCCCACGATGTCTTCGCCTTGGGGCCCCACCTCGTCTTGCGAGGCCTCTTGATCGGCTGGTCGTCATCCGATGACACGCTGCCCTTTCCCCCGCCTGACTCTCGCCCGTCTTGCCTCGACCCATCATTGCCGTCCTTGTCCTTGTCTCTCTTGCTGCCGGACTGATGCCTGTTGCTGGAGACGTCGGGCGAGTCGGTGAGGTCGATGGGTAGCTGAGGGCCGGGCGGTGGACATGGGATGGTGACGGGGAGGGGCTTGGGGGCGACAGGCGGAGGGATGGGCAGCGAGGACCTGCACACAGACACGCACAGAGAGACGGGATGGGGTGCGTCAGCACCGAGGTCGCGCGAGGGCAATGCTGTGCTGATGGCGTTGGAGTGGCGTCAGGGAGGCGGTGACCATTTGCTGGCGTGGGGCTCCTTGTCAAGGTAGATGATCGTCACATCACCACTTTTGTTCTTCAGCGACGCCCTGATGTGGTGCACACACCGCCTTTGTGGCGGCCATCCTTCGTCGTGTTTTCTCCCTCACGCAATCGACTTGGAGAACCCGACGATGGCCACCTTCAGCTTGAGGGTCAAGCATTTGTCCACGGCCTCTGATAGTGCATAGCGCGCATAGGAAGAACACACATGCGAACACGACACCCACAGACACCTGTTCGTCCACTTGTTGCCTGACCTGAAAAGTCGCTATCGCCCGCCAGGAGCACTATTGTCTTGATAGGCTCATGCCCGCTTTCAGCGCAGGAGCGTCGGCGAAAAATCGGCGAGCTTTCTGAAATTGGACGGTCAGATCATATTCCGTTCTCGTGTTGCTATGCACTGCTCACCATACGCCGTCTCCAACATCTTCATCGCAATCGCGCAATCAGCACCCCGCTGCACCCACCCTGCAGGCACACACACACACACACACACATGATGTACTGATGTAATACACTACTACAATTTCTCCTTCCCTCCCACTTCTCGCCTGAGCACAGCTCGCCACCCTCCGTGTCACCCGTGATGGACTGCCGCTTGTAGTCGCACAGGTGCACAGTGACACGCTTCGACCGCAAGAATTGATGGAACGCGTCGCGTTTGTCCAGCGCGGCGCGAGGCGCCAGACCACGCGTGACCTTGGAGAACCACTTGAAGGGGCATCCGTCAAAGAAGAACGTCTGCTCGTTCTCCACCCTCAACACACGCTGCACGTACTTCAAAAGACGAAAGCAGAAAACCTCCCCCGACAAGAAATCCACTCCACTCCGAATGTAGGCGCCATCTGCAGCACGACAGACACCATGGTGCACAGCCCTTAATTACTCCTCGCCCTTGCTTCATCGTCTGCTGCGTACCGACAATGAAGACGGCCTTCGCCCGTCCAGCCATGGCCGTATCCGCTACACACGCCTCTGACAACGAAGACGAACCTGCAGGCAACTCACAGAGATGCCACAGGCAGGACACGATGCTAGAGGCACACGAAGGCAAAACAGAGGAAATCCGATTTGAAGTGGCGAGAAATCGTGATGGACCCGCAAACCCCGATTTTCATCATCCTCACTTTTTTTCGTCCTCGAAAGCGCAGTCACCGTGAAACATCTGCCCAGGACGGACCTTCCAGACGGCTTCTTCAACGTCCAGACGGCTTCTTCAACGTTCTTCCAGGCTCAGAGAGAGAAACCATGTGGTGTCTGGCTGTCATTTTCTCCTCTTCCTCAGAGTTCTGGCCGTCGAGAGGACTTCAACGAGGAGTCAATGTGTGACGGCTTCAATGACTTCAATGACTTTAATGCCGTGGGGTAACAGAAGGCGATTGAAGACAAGACGGTGCTGTCAGCTGGTGGAGGAACATTGCGTGCGTTTGTATATGGGTGTTTCATTCAGCGATGCGCGCGCTCACGTCGCTAGAGAACGAGCCAGTCCACCACGCGACCCCGTTCGTCCGGGGGCGCTGCGAGTTCAGCTGCAGCAGCGGCGGGTGCTCATAAGGTGGGTGGCCTTGACGGATTGGCTGACGACGGGCGATTTGAGTTCCTGCGGCAGGTCAAATGGGAAGTACTCGAACGCCTGGAGATCCTCTATGGCGAGACAAGATACGAACAGATAGCCAAATCTCTGTTCGAGTACCCGAAAGGTCAGTCCGTAGAGAAGCAGGCAGTGCGAGTGAGTGAGTGGCTGAGGGGGCGGGGGATGCATTGGAGATGTGTGTCATTGTGTCAGAGACAGCAAAATTAATCCTCAAAGAGGCAACAAAACGTGCAGAGAAAGTGTGAGTGAAAAAACCCAAACAAAGACGACACATGGTCGGCCCGTTGTGTGTTGCTGTGGCCATTAGCAAGAACTCTCAGGAGAATGATGGCAAAAAACTGTGGTCGGAAATTTCCAACCGCAGATATGAGCCATGACTCTATTCGTACAGCGGGTCGTCGGCTGCCCATAGGTCGTCGGCAGCCGCAAGTGCAGCGCTGCAGGCAAATGGGTCGGCAAAGCGTTCAGGTGAGTTGAATGGATGGATGGGAGAGAGGAATGGCTGGATGGACTTAAATGGATGGATATGGTGTGTGTTTGTGCGCCCTCAGTGCACCTGGTAACCTCGTTGGTCTCAAGCCCGCCGAGCTGGACATGCGTGAGCTCCCGCCACAGATGGAGTCCTTCATGGGCGCCATGCTGCGAGCGAGCTACTGCGCCCAGATGGGCCTTGTGGGTAAAACAAGAAGGAGACATACAGTATATGCATGTGAACGTCTGCATGCAGGTTGGTGTTGCACGCCGTGCCGAGAGTTATCGGCAACCAGGGACCCGGACGCGAACAAGTCCAAGAGCTGAGGCAAGACACAGAGGAGTGGCGTCAACGGAAGATCACTGCACGGGACTGGGAGAGGGAATGGAATGCTGCAAAAGACACAATTGAGACGGCAGCGAGATACTTGGCCATAATATATTAAGGTGGAAACAGTTCTGGTAGCCCACGTCAATCCTTCATGCGACATCGAAGACATCGCAGGCAGCAAAGTGCACCACCGTCGACAAAAGAGAGTGCCAGACAATGATCCAGGGGTGTGAGGAGAGGAACAACATCTTTAGGTAGGCGCGTGCTGATCTCAGCAGACATGTGGAGCCTCGGTACGCTCTTACACACAACACACAACGGACTGTCGCGATGTGTGGGCATCTCTCTCCGTCGATGTGGGCCTCATGTCTGTTGCTGCTCTATATGCTCACGAAGACCGTGCTGCTGTCGCCGCCCCAGCCATACGCTTCATCTGACATTCGGGCCAGAGCGATGCACAGAGTACGAACACAACACACACAACCACACTCTCAGATACAGTCCACTCCACCCACCCACCGATGCGTGTGTATGAGTCTTTTCAATGCTGTGTGTCAGATGGGTGTGCTGTCCACCACCGGTGCCAACGCATGGCCGCATTCCCACATACACCTGCCTCATGGCGTCACCTCGCAGTACGGCGATCAGACGAGGGTGGACAGGAACGTCGAGCTGATCGCACGCATGCTCCAGCGAGACCCCCCCCCCCAACGGCTGCGCGTGTCAGAGGTCAGTTGTGTGGATGCGGGAAAACAGCATGACCACAACACACGCGTGGCTGCATATGTGTGACGATCTATGTGTCCGTGTCCGTGTGGCTGTCTCTCAGATTCAGGGGTTGGTCTTCATGCACCTGCATGTCATCGAGCTCCTCAACGGCTCAACGGACCGCGCGGCAGGGGAGGCGACGCTGGTGCAGGGACACGAGGTGCCGGGAGAAGGCATCGTGAGGGCGCAGCCGACACACAATCCATCCAAGTATCCCCTCATCCCCGCCGCCCCCGCGCCCCTCAACGGCCCACCGCGACTCGGCAACGCGCCGGATCCTGGCCGCACAGGGAAGCCCCGGAAGCCTCTGAACGCCCGGGCGGCGACGCACGAAGAGCAGAGGGGACTCACATCGATAGGGTAGGGAGGGGAGGGGAGGGGAGGGGAGAGACATTGGTGAATGTATGGCGGCGTGGATGTATCCTTGATTCGATTCGTAGGGCCACTCAGGCTGGTGCCCGTGACGCCGCCGCCCCGCCCGGCAGAGGGTTCCTGGACACCACACAGAACATGTACGCACGAGAGAGACCACACACATACCTGTGTATTCGTTCGGTGTGGTCGCTTTTCGATTGCCTCCCGACAGATTCAACGGCACGTTGGGCGATGGAGCTGCTGCAGGGGTGGTGCAGCCGGGGAGCAGCGGACCGGCGGCGGCAGCAGCGGCAGCAGCCAGCCGCAGCAGCCGCAGCAGCAGCAGCGGTGAGGGCAACGGGGAGGACGTCGGCGACGGGATTCCCCCGACCGTGGATGACCTGCTGGCCGACAGCAGACGTGTGTGGTGGTGCGTGTGTGTGTGTGTGATGGGCCTGAGCGAATCACCAGTTAGCTGTGGCCACTGTGTGGGGCAGCTAGGCCGCCCCTATATATATTGCTGCCTGCATTTTATATCCTTGACGGCGCTTATATCCTTGACGGCGCAATTGACAAAGGTGCATTCAAGTGGACGAGGGCATGAATGCATGTGGCTCGGTGTACGAGTGTGACACCCCATGAAGCGTAAAAACACAGTGCGATGTCCACCTCGACACGAAATTCGCATCAACCTCATCTATCAAAGAGAGCGATCGCATCAGTCACATGACCAGACACCCAAGCTCACGAGCGGCCTCTTCTCTCCAGCTGCACAAAGCGAAAGAGACACACGCATTCATGCAGAAAGGATGTCGTGTCACTCACGCAGGCACGCACCTTTCTGAGCAGTGCGCTGAGTGTGTTGACTTCCAATCGCAGCATATTGAGGGCCTCCTTCAGCTCATGATCCACCTGTGGACTCTGCAAATACACACGAAACACGAGCATGCTGTGCCTCATCGTCAGTGTGGGCAGCCCTCACCCATCCGAACATCTGTCTCCGAGCCAGCTCCCCTATCTTCGCCTCGGACTCAAGCTGACAGAGACACACGCCGACGGAGACATGTGCAGAAGCGGATGTTTGCCATACCTGCTTGTCGATCCTGTCGGTCTCGGCCACACCGACAGACACAGGAGCGGCCCCCTGAAGACGGCAAGTGACCATTTGTTGCACTGAGACACGAGAGTGTATGTGTATATCCGGCTGGCCAACTGACCACGTCAGCTGTCTCGAGCATGCGCCTTATCTCCAGCACGAACTGGTTCACGTTGTTGACGAACCCCTGGGCCTCCTCTATGTCGCCCTTGAGGTAGGAGGCCAGCTCCTCGACACTCACTTCAGGCTTGCCCCCGTCCACCGACTCCTAAACGAGCCGATAGCACGGGAAGGAAGGATTGTGTGCAGAGACATGGTGTGTGCGGGCGTGAATGACGAGGCTAACGGCTGTGATTCGTTCTATGATGTCTGCTCGCACACTGAGCTTCTTGACCACTCTCTGGATCTCAGAGTGGATCTAAAGGTCGGACTCAAAGACACACATGTGTCCGTCTCATCTGTGTGGGAAGAGTCCTTACGAATAGGAGCTGCGGGTTTTGGAAGACCTCTTTCCTGACGCGCTTGAGCTTCTTAGTGTGCACTTTCCTGTCCGGATCGACATTCTCCTTCTCAGCGAACTGACGAGCAATGCCCTCAACAGCTGCAGATAGAGACGGACACACACAAACGGTCAAAGGCAGGCCATGTCAGGCCCCTCTCCCTGTGTGTGTGGTTGACGTGTGTGCGTTGCTGACAGTCAAGGAGTGCGGTTCTGAGCATGAATCCCTCCCCGGCCTGGTCCTGAAAGTCTGCTATCCGACGAATGCGATCCTTGGTCAGCTCAAATGCGTCTGATAAACAGATTGGATGGAACACAAAAAGAGAGGATGGAATGTCAGCCAGATGGGCGAGCAACATACCGGTCAGGATTGCGATGAACATGTTGATGAGCACGAGTGTGACAATGAATATCCACCCCACTGTGTATGCGGGCGCCGCAGCCGAGTCCGCCAGCTGCAAAGACTCGTAATCGTACTCTCCCGTCAGCGACCGCAGCAGAGTGGAGAAAGACTCACCCCACGTGTGAAAGCCCGCTACCTACACCCACACCACAACACACTTGGCGTGTCTCTCTGTGTTTGTGAGCGTGCGCACCGCACCGCACCGCACCCGTGTGCCGAACAGCCAGTGTCCCGCGAATGTGAATCCGATGGTGACGAGGAAGAAGACCATAATGAACGGCAGGATGTCCACCGCCGCGTTGCTGAGCGCCACCCACAGTAGGCTGAGCTTCGGATTCACCTGCAGGTACTTGAATATCTGGTGAGAGACACACCCACACACCCACACACAAGCACACAAACACACAAAGACGCAGCAGATTGCCTTTCAGACGTCTGTATTGTCCGCCTGTCCGTACAGTGAAGCATCCGATGATGACGTTGACTGCAGCGACGGCCGATGTGAAGGTGAAGAGCTCGATAACCTTCCCCGGATCGCGATACTCTGTCGGCGAAAACTCCAAATACTGAAAGCGGTCCTCCAGCAGAAAGCGAGACCTGCACGCACAGACACACACCATGTCTCATTTGCAATATTTATATCTTCACAGGCAGGCTGCTCCGTACCAGTAGACGAGAATGGTGAGATACATGGCGATGTTTGTGAGCTCGACGAGGTTCCAGAAGGACTTGAAGTATTCGAGCTTGTACACTCGGAGCTCATTCATCTCACGTAAGACATACACGCACAGGCACAGGAAGAAAAACACCTCACACGCCAGACGGGCGAAGTCCGCCCCTGATTGATGAGATGAGCAAACGGATCCCAGCCGAGACGTTCCTCGTGTTTGCGTGATGGGCCGCCCTTCCGTGGCTACCTGTGCGGTATGGCTGCAGTCTGCATGAGTGGAGTGCGATGGAAGAGTGGATACGCCCGCCGATCATCATGTCGTTCACAAACCTGCACCAACACACACACCATCAAGTGCATCCACACACCCGCCTCTCACAATCACATGCATGTGTACGTACGTACCTCACACGTGTGAGAGTGTCATAATTGGCGTTGTACGTCAGGAACTCCACCACAAAGACCGCCGTGCCCCCGCCGAGAAAGATGGGTTCGGTGGCTGCGCCGCCGCCCGACTCGTCGCCCTCGTCGATGGTCTTCCCCACGCCCTGCTTGACGTAGTTCTCGTACACGAATCGGCCTTCGTTGGTCAGGGGTATGTCGAGGATGTGGGCCTCGTGGCCGTAGTCGTAGCCGTAGCCGTAGCCGTCGATGCCAATCAGATCGGGAAGGCGCTTCTCGTAACGAAGATAGGGATTCAGCAGTGTCACACGGTCTTCACTCGCCTGCATGGAAAGAGACACGTGGCCACTGGTTGATGTACCTCGTTGGTCAGGTGAGAGTCACCTGAATGGAGTTTTTGAAGCTTTCCCAGCATGGCCTCTGTACGTCGACCTCCGCCGGCCAGCCACAGGAGCCCTCCGTGACGCTCACCTGACGAATGCGGATCGGTGATACTGACAGAGAGGGGCAGATGGATGCACATATAAGGAGCTTACAGTGCATTGCTTAGAGTACGTGACTTACTGATTCTGTTTGCCATCCTGACAAACACCCGCGGGTCGTTGTCATTTATGAGTGAGTCAGGCAGCACAACGGGCAGCAGAACCGTCTCCATCCACCGCCATATATCGTCCGTCGTCCCAATGTCTGTTTCATAGTAACATACACCCAATAACCAGACACCACGCCTCTGCATCTGCCTGACTGACTGACCATAATACGTCTTGTCGAAATATATCCCTCCCAGGTTCTCCTTTGCAAACGCGTCTTCCATCGTCTCTTGAGTCGACCACGTCGTACGTACCTACACAAGCACCGAGCCAAATGGTGAGACAGCCAGCGTATCCCAATATATCCATATCATCACCTCCCATCACCGCCCCCTCACCCCACCGGCCGCACGAGCATGTTAATCGCCCCGAAACTCGCCACAAACAGAGTATACAATAGAGCCTTGTACAGGTAGTTTTGCTGCTGCACCCTCAGCACATACTTGATCACCCCGCCAGAGGGCACAGCAGTGGGCACCTCCAGCGCGGCCTCGTCCTGATGGTCCAGGAAATGGTCGCCATCCATCGCATCTGGCGAGAGAGGCGGAGGGGGGCCGAACGAAGCCTCCTTCTCAGCGGCTGGTGGATCAACTGCAGGCCTCTCGCCTGCTTGGTGGACGCCCTTCACGCCCTTGAGGCTCAGACGCCTGCCGATGGCCTTCATCTGCTTCATTGTAGTGAGCGATGAGTCAAATGGGGGCCTGGACAAATTGACGTTTAAGAGCACAGCAGTTGCAGCACAACTTCAGTTGGCGATGCGGCGGCACGTCTGCTGACGTGACAGATGCGGATCTCTCTTGAGTCAGCGATCTTAGCTCGCAGCTACACTCCGTGAAACCGCTGCTCAGTAATTCGAGTGCCTTGAAGCGCACAACTGAATCATTCATCAGCTCCCACGCATGTGCATCCATCGCTGATAGACATCGCCATGAGTGGGATCTTTCGAATCAACCGCTATCCGTATCAACGTCGGCTGTTCCGATGGCAGCAGATGGGTGTCCTGTACGTGCTCGCCACGTGCCTCATGGCCTTCCTCGCCAGGCAAACAGCCGCACTCTCCAGCCACACCAGCCATGCTCCGTCGTCGAGCAGACCGACGTGCCGCTCGTTGGTCGGCCGCACTGATGATTCACGGCAACGCAGATCTCGACTCGTCCAGGTGTGCAAGATAGCGCAGAGATGCCCTGTGCATTATGGATATACACCACTCACTGCGCGTCTGTCTTTGTTCAGATGATGCGTGTGCGCGGGGGTGCGGAGGGCGACAGCGACTTTGATGCGGAGGACGACTTTGGCGATTCGCTGGTCGAGGCCGACTTTGAGAGCGACAACTCGGTGCAGAGCAAGCTGCTCGACCTGCTCAAGGCATTCGACAGAACGCCCCCCATTACAAAAGGGTCGGTCAGTGACAGACACCATTGAAGGCATTCACCCATGGTCTTCTGTCTGTGTCTGTCTGTCTGTCAGGTATCTGTTGACGTCAGCCTTCCTGACTGGTGGGGCGTATTTTCTCACGGCTAAGAAGGTCTTTCCACGAGAGCTCATGTACGACTGGAAGAAGGTGCTCCAGGGGCAGGTATCAATCATATCGATAAACGTCTTCCTTATTTGTGCAGATAGGCAAACACATGACATGACGACCGGCACTCTCACTCTCTCTCTCTCTGTCTGTCATTGGTGTACAGATATGGCGTCTGATGACGGGGTTTTTCTACATTGGTGACTTTGGCCTGTCCTACCTGATGACGGCCCAGTTCATATGGACCTATATGGCCAACCTCGAGAAGCTCAACTACAAACACCCCGAGCAGTTCGCCATCCTGCTGCTCTTTGGCATGGCCTGCCTCACCCTCGCCTACCCCCTCCTCAATGCCATGGACCCCACGTGGGCCCTCGTCCCCGAAATGCTCGGCCACAACCTCAGCAGCTTCATGTCTGTGGGCACCGCACCGCTCGCAATGAATGGCTGGCTGACACGCTCACATCCCACATGCATGCCTTCTGTGTGTGTGTGTGTGTTTGAGTGCAGTGTTTATGTGTGGTCGCGCACGCACGAGGGCCAGGACGTCAATATCATGGATCTGTTTCAGCTGCGGGCCGAGTACCTGCCGTGGTTCTTCGTCATGCAGACTTGGCTGCTCGAGGGACAGGCACCCACCTTCGACCTACTTGTGAGTAACAGACACACGTGGCACACGCCTCGTGTGGATCGACGCGTGTGTGTGTCACTAACTGACAGGGCATAGCATTCGGTTGGTTGTACCACTGGCTCAAAAGTCGGCATTGGCTGAAGTCGCCGCCCCCACTGAAGGATTTGTTCAGGCAACCCGTGCTGAAGAGGCAGTATGAGAAATACGAGAAAGAGTTCGAATAAATAGATAGTACATTTCTGTACGGGAGAGGAAGGCAAGCAAGCAGGGGAGCGGGGGCTGTGCGGTGAGACTATGGATAGCATGTGATGCCCAAGAGCCTTTGTTTATCCGTGTGTGGATGATGAGTGGACAGATCACAAGCGTGTTGAATGCTGAATCGATCGTGTGCACATTGATTGTCACGTCATAATCACATGCAATTCCGTCATGACACATGAACAGCACCCTACAAGCGAAAGTCCCTTCAGCTCCTCAGCCTCGTCGGTAGTCCGTCGCACACCCATCACTTCACTTCTCTATTGGTCTCCCCAGCCCCTCCTTTATCACATCCCGATTCACCACCTCGGGCGGCACACGGATCTCGGCCGCATCCATTTTATCCCAAATGGTCTTGGCCATCGAAGGCCCAAACTGATCTAGAGGGCTCTCCCATGGAAAGATAGTCCTCCGATACCGAAGCACGGGCACCTTCTCCAAACCCAATGCAATGCGGATGGACTCTAACGATCAATGCGTGACACGTCAGATGCATGCAAAACTGCAGTCTGTTTCGTTCCCTCACCCAATCGCCTTCGATTGACGCCAAAGTCGGGCAGAGAGTCCCTCCGTGCAGCTCTGAACTGCACCGTGTTGTCACCAGGTGTGAGGTAGAACTCCTGACACACACATGTGAACACACAGATGTGGCATGTGTCAGGACCTCCCATCATGACCGGACCACGTCATCGACTGTCTTGAGCGTCTCGTCGGCAATTTCCACCCTCAGATACCTTTCCGAGCTGACCACCTGCTTGACCTGCACCTTCGGGAGCAATGCCAGGGCGGCCTTCAGTCGCCGCATCAACATGTCAGGCTCGATCTCCTCGTACATCCACGGCTCCTGATTGATGTACACACAAACACACACACCCTTGAGCCATGAATGAATGCATCTCATCCCATTCCCGCTGCCCATGGTCACCTGAAAGAACGCAGGTCGGTCATCTTGCGATGAAACGCAGCTGCTGCTGCCATCTGGGCAGTAGGACAGCAGGTCCTGATCAACACCAAGGCACTCACTAGAGCCGCCGAGCAGCTGTCTTTGCAGCGAAGTGCACTGCGCTGGGGCGTCGGATCTTGCAAGAGAAAGAGACGGCAGCAGGAACAACGCAAGACTTGCTGCCACAAGGGGTGCGAAAACACGGCGCGGGGCGTTGGGCGTTGGATCTTCTCGTGACGCTCGTCTGACTAAGCTGCTGGCACTGGTGCGGGGCTGCATCAGCAGAGATCTTTCACTTAGATGCTCCTGACCACTGTGGCGATGAGTTCTGATGCCTCCTCCCACTCGGTGCTGCTGAAAGGCTGAGGTGGACGAGGCCGCAAAGGCGATGATGAAGGCATACACATGGAGCGTCATCGACGCTGTTGAAGCCAAATAGGTTGAAGCGCACTTTCGAACGCGTTTTGGCGCGTGCCCTGGAGCGCCGTGATCTGGAAAACAGCAGAAAGGCTGTTGGATGTGTCCCTCTGTCCTGTTAGTCAACACTGCCGCCGATCACGTCGCCGGCAGGCCAGTTACTGAGACTGATGCCATTGGATGGATACTTTATCTACTTACCGGAGTACCGTGTGCGCATCTGCATTCTGATGAGATTGGTTGATTCCGGGAAGCTTCCACGATAAGGGAGGGAAGCTTTCGAGAGACGAGCTGTGGCTGTCTCGATATGTCTGTGTGAATTTAACAGACTGTGATCATGAAGGGCTGGCTGCGATAGTCCGTCGGTTCTACTGAATGAGTCGCAGCATCCATGCAGCTTGCTACGATCATGGTGGACGGATGCAGTCATGCAGACGTGCATGCCACAACACACAGCTACTCGCACAGACAAACTACCACGTCTCTACAGGAAACACACACCGAGAAGGGAGCCGTGCGACGGCAACACAGAGAGCAATCAATCAGATCAGATCTGATTAGAACAACGAGCAGTTCCAGCCATATCCCCCCCCATTGATGGATGCCTCCGGCTGGCACACACACCGCCCGCTTGCAAAGTTGCAGTAGCTCCCGCCAGCCGTGTCGCTCCACCCGCAGTCCGTCACAGTTGCCTGGGCCGTTCCAGCAAAGTCCTGTCCTACGTCAGAGCACTCGTGATACGTGCAGGCCCGGCTGCCACTGCCACCGGGCGGCAGGTCAGAGCACAAACACTCGCCAGTCAGGGGGTCGCACCGTGACCTGCGGGCTAGGCCACACCCAAAGGCATCGACCGTCCCCGCCTCGATGCTGTACCCGCGTACCGGGACCACCCCAGTTTCCATCTGGAACTGTTGCCTCCTGCCGTGTACGCACACGGCGTGGTTGCAGCCGCTGCCGTACCAGCCGAGATCGCACACACACTCGGCAATCGTGTCGACGTTGATGTCGCAGCGGCCGTGAAGGGCGCACTCGGTCGCCGGGATGCCGTATGCGGTCACCTCAGCCGCAGGGCAGGACGTGTACTGACATGTTTCGCCGAAGTGGGGGTACTCACACATGCACACGCCGGTGGTGGTGTTGCACGTGCCGGCCTCGTTGCATACGCGGCCGTTGTGGATGGGGCAGGCCAGCTCCTCACAAGCAAAGCCGCCGAATCGCCCAGAACACGTACATGTGCCAGTGGCCGTGTTGCAGGTGCCGCCGTTTTGGCATGCCGGCACGCATTGTGTCTCGCCGCAGTTGCCGCCTGTGTAGGGGTGGGCGCAGACGCATGTCTGCGTGAGGGGATGGCACTCGCCGCGGCCGCCACAGACGAGGCTGTTGTATGTGGGGCAGTCTGCGGTGCCGAGCAGCCGCTTCGTGCCGATGGCGATGGTTGTTCGCGCGGATGCATATGCCAGGCCGTCATCGGATGTTATGGACGCCTCGATGACGTATCGGTCCTCCTTGAAATTGTCGATCGTCACCTGAGAGAGACACACACGGGCCCATGACGAGAGACGCATGCAGATACGTGTGGTGTCTGGCTTACCGAGTCAAGAGCAGCGTTGACGTGATTGAGTTTGCCCCTCAGGGACACATAATTGATGCTTTGGCCACTCCTAGGGAAGACATCAAGTCCCTCCACATTGGACACGGTCAGCCTGGCGTCTCTGCCCTCCACCACTCTCACCACACCACCAGCATCCCTGTTGGCCTCTAGATTGCCCCCGAATGCGAAAGACACCGTGTACTGCGTTGTGGTCTGGGTGATGGGGATGGTCATAATGTATCGAGGTCCCAAAAGATCATCGTCGACGTGGGACGTGAAGAGGTACGGACCATGGGAGATAAAGCTGTACAGCTCGTGGAAAGTCCCTGCATACACAGAGAGGGACTGTGTAACGAGGCATTATGTAAGTGGGTGTGTGCCATTATGCGCTATGTATGTACCAGTGCCAGGAGGGGAGTCTGCACGATTTAGAGCAAGAGTAGAGGATTTGGGTGTGGGGTCGGTTACATCAATGACACGGATTTGCCTGTTCATCTTTTGGATGAACAAGTAAGGATAGGAAAGGGCCATCAGCCGCGGGTTCGCCAAGTTGTTGTTTATCTCTTCCACGAACTCGAGTGTACCCGGCCGCTCGATGAAGTACATGTCCAGCGAGAGACTCGCAACACAGTCATTGACGGTGTCCCTGCAGGGACACACACATATGGATGCAACGAGAGACAGTGAGAGACACATACAGTACCCACTTACGTACCAGCATCCCTCTTTTAGCACACACGTGCCCTTGTGGTAGTCGCCGCACGCCGTCCCGCCCGCACATGTGGTGGTGTTGTCGTACGAGAAGCAGTCGCACAGGGGGTTGTGCTGGCAGGCGCTCTTGCACTCGTCAGGACTGACGTACGTCAAGGTGCCCCCAGCGATGTCCGTCGTCCGGCTGTTGGCTGGTGCATTGGTGCAGTCTGTGTCAGGTGTGTGTCGCCATGTGATGATCTCCCCGCGGCCATCGGGCGAGATGTTTTTCACCAGAAGCTCCACAATGCGTGCGTTTGCCCTGTCGCTGACATAGAGAGTGGGCTGCGGTGCGCTGACGTATGTCGTGTCCCAGGGCCGGTTGAATCCCCTGTTGCCGGTCAGCGCTACCCCGGTGGAGCCATATTGGGTGACATAGGACAGGTCGCTCGCTCGCAACACCTGCATTCATCCATCGATAAAAACAACAGCCTCTGTCTGTCTGTGTCTGTGATTTGGTGCGCTGACTGACCACAACACGGTGATTCTCGGTGTCGGCGACAAAGACGTGGGTGGAGGAGGCAGACATACCTCTGAAAGCAGGCGAGCAAGCAAGCAAAGAACACAGACAGACGCCTGTTGCTCCCTCCCTCTCTCGCCCTTCTCTGCCGTATGTCGCTTGCTTGCGCGTCTCCTCCTCACTGTGGTCGGCTCAGCGTCGATTTGTCGGATCCTTCTAGGTTTATGCTGCCGAACGTCTGTGTGGGAGCCATGTAGAGCAAGAAGCCGCGGCTCCCATGCTCGCTGCAGGTGTGAGTGAACGCCAAATACCGAGACAAGAGAGACGAGCGAGCAGCGATGGATGGCCTCTGTGCATCGTTCTCGCTCACTGACTCACTCACGTGATGGGATGGTTTGCAAAGCGCAGCACTCGATGGGAATCCAGAACGTACAGAATGCCGTCAGCTGACACGTGCAGATGACGGAGGTTGCAGACCCTAAGGACAGACAGACAGACAGACAAGCAGAAGAGAGACAGAGGGGGAGTCATTGTGCGTAGTCACTCTCAAGCAACTTCTGTCTGTCTGTCTGGCTGTCTGTCTGTCTGTCTGTCTGCACCATTCATTCAGCTCACTTGGTGGGGTCGCCGCAACCTCTGTCTCCGCCGCGAAAGTATGACGTATCAAGAGTGCCTGACGCGAAGCCAAGAGGAGCAGTGTCTTGATCGTGTATCAGTCCGTCCTAAACACATATACACACACACACACATACATGTGTAAGTGAGGTGTCTGCCTGAAGCTCCTTCCTGCTGCTCCGACCTGGCTGGGATTCGCTATGGGAGTGCCGCCAGGGTACACAGGCCACGATTGGCTCTTCAGGATGCTGAACTCCCACCAATCGTCAGTAGTGTTTAGCCGAGCAGCTATTAGTCGCTCCTTCTGCAAAGGAAACACAGCCATGCCCACTTGTATGTATGGCACAGACAGACGCAATCAAGGCTCGCCATGTACCAACCAGGTGAGCTGGGGCAATGAGGAAGGGATATGTGGTGTTCATTTCTTGTCTGTAGATCCCAGCAGGCTCCAGAGTCACAGTGGGAGGGACAGGATCGCTCGCAGCACTCGCTTCCCCCATCATATAGTTGGCAGGGATTGAGGCGAGGCCGGTCGGCAGCGCTGTGTAGGTCAGTATCTTGATGCCGGTATCGACATAAGTGCCTCCCCCAGCCACGCACACGCGGTAAGACGGATTGACAAGCGCCCCTCCAGTGCTGATTGTCGCAGCAGCTGGAGTACCGGCGATTGCGTGGGGCCCCCCTCCGTTGCAGTCGGTGTCGTCTGTGATGCGGACGGTGAGCGTGGGGGACCCCTGATAGGTACACGCCAGACTCACCGTGGCGCCCGATAGAATGAGCGTCGGGCTGACGGACGAAAGGCCAGCCACGTTGAGAGTGCCGGATAGGAGAGCCGCCTTGGATGCGGCAGGGGGCCACGCCGGGGTCGGTGAATTCACAGAAGCGGAAGCCACTGCCGGCCCACGGTAATGTGAATGTCTGCTGAGATGAGGCGTCCAGGTTGACGTATGTCGTGACAGTCGAACATGGATCGGCAAGGGAAGTCGGCGCTGGCGGGACCATCGCTACGCGAGTGTTCTGAGGACAACGCGTAGCGGACAGACGGACATATCGGTGCAGTGTGTCTCGCTCGCCAAGTCCATGAACACATGTCGCTCACCTGCGAGAGGCCCGTGAACGTCACCGTGGACGCGTCAGCCTGATCAACCGTCCCTGTAGGTGAGGGTTGCTGACAAGACCGTTACAGTGTACCCGCTGTAATCCACAGCCGGGCCCCCCACCTGCGTCCTATAACACACCCCATACGTCCCAGTGCCGTTCATGGCCGACAGATCGATCGCCCCCGTCTGCAGGTTTGCGTCCAACAAATAATAGGTGACCCATGACAGGGAGCAGTCGGCAACCCCACTGTAGTCCTTGACGAAGGCCACTGCGTCGCCTTGCACGAGGGTGGCTCCGCCATATGCCTCAAATATCTGTGTCTGCCCTTCGAGCACCTCCTTCGGATCGACGATGTTGGCGAGGCTGCGGACAGTGATAGTCAGGCCCGGCACTTGCACGTATTGGGGCGAATCAGGGTCTCGCTGACACACGCACGGCAGATGGTACTCAGCTTGCCCTGTGTGACGGTCGTCCCGTGTCTCCCGTCCGTCACCTTAATGCAGATGGCCTTCGTCGCCCCGCCAGCCGTGGTCAGTGTCACCTGGAATGTTGCCCATACATCCTGGCGCTTCAATGGGACAGCATTTCCCACCGTGCCCACTGCTGGACACCCTCCCCCATCGTCAATGTACACCACCAGGGTGTCATCAAGCCCCAGCCCCCCCAGAGTAATGACCCTTGTCACGCCATCCATCACAGCAGCCGGGCTGACGGCGGTCACGCCCGCAACGGTCAGAGAGAGGAAGTCCACTGGGTAGAAGGCGCCATCGGTCCCGCCTGTGGGTGCTGCGGGGCGGAAGCAGACTGAATAGCGGCCGACATTGGCGTTTGCTGCTGGAGTGATGGATATCGAGTAGGGTGCACCGGTGCCAATGTTGTGTGGGTCGCCGGGCAGAGCCCCGCCGCACACTGCGTTGCCAAATGGCGTGAAGCGGACGGCATCGGGGTTGGCGGAGGGCAGCCACGTCGGGTAAGCTGCAAAATGACCAAAATACGGCCACAGGAAACATTGGTGTGGTTTCTTCGGGGCGTCGCTCACTTGGCATGGTGAGTTCGATAGTGGTGGCGTGACCAGCCAGTATGACATCCCGGTTCATGGCTGTGGTCGGGTAGACCACCCGCAGCTTCAGATCCTCCGTCGCCCAGCTGGTCGAGGCGTTGGTGCGATAACACAAGCCGCACTCGCCAATCTGCGTGAACTCAATGAAAGCGACGAAGGCCGCGTCGAGTGTGGCTCGCTGGCCGGTCTCGCAGTTCGTGCTCGCAGCGACGACACCTGATCAGCAAGCAAAGGAGGACATGCTGATGTTTGTGCGCTTGTTTCTTCTCTCTCCCCTCTCCCACGCCCGCACACCTCCTGCATTTGGCCCGACGAACGACACAACGCCTCTGTCCTCCACTGTGTTGCTGAAGGTGAGGGGAACTGGGTAGGCAGAGCGTCGAAATGGATGGAGGACAGCCACACTCGGAGCCACGTCGACTGAAAACGTCGTCTGGCATAAGAAGAGGAGAAGGTAGAGTCTGACCAGCAACATCATCTGCACAAAGGGTGGCTGCAGTGGCATCCTCTACGCCGTTGCAGCTGCGATCAACATGGCATGGAGGAAAGGCTGCAATCCCGATTAGCCCCTCCATTTTTGAGATCGTTACGCAGCCGTTGAACCGCGACCCTTCCGCAACTTTTGTCTGTCTTTCGTCACGATTCGACTCACGAATGTCTCATTCGTACACGCATCTAGCCCCTTGATTTAATTGCTCGCCCGACCCCCGGAACGAAACTATTCGTATGTAGGTCGCTATGTCACTCCTGCTCTATCTTTACGACGACAGGCACCTCGACAGGCATCACCAGACCACCATACTGCACCTCACAACCCAGATCTGGCATAGCCTGATCGGGGGATGCCTCACGATGTGCGCTGCTAGCACCGCCAGCCATGCCGCCTCCGCCATGCCCATCCTCCCCCTCCCCGCCCTGGTTGGCCAGCATGGCATTGAAATCTAGCCCCGCCTCGGGGGCCTCTCTGTTGACGATCTCAACGCACTCGCGCAACGCTTCGAGCAGCCCCTCTCTTGTGAGGGTCTGCGGCACGACCGACCCTACATAACGGGGCTTGGCGTTCCCAATGGCCGATGATCGCTGGATTGAGTAGCGCCGGTTTTGTCTGGTCCAGTAGATGCGCGGGACGCCGCTGCTCATCTTTGGTGGCGAGGAGGCCGCGTAGAGCTGCTCTCTGAGGCTGTTGGCGAGCATGTCGACTAATGAGCGGTTGCCGTTGGAGGCTCTGGCCTCGGTCGGGCTGGGGGACCCTCGCTGGTGCTGCTGCTGCTGCTGCAGCTGCTGGTGATCCTGAGTGGCCGCTGCAGCCCCCTCCATTCCTTCTTGTGTGCCTCCGCTCTCGCTCTCATCTGCCTCCTCGTCAGGGTCCCACTTGCCAATATTGGCACTCATCACCCTGTCGAAGGCATCCATGCTTATCCGTTTGCTCTCGGGCATCTGGCCGTTTCTCGTCTGCACCGCTCGCCGCAGAGCAGCTATCAGGCCCTCCGTTGTGCGTGTGGGGAGCGGGAAAGTGGGCTCCTTGGCTGACGCCTCCTGATTGTGCTTGAGCGTGTAGCAGTCGGGCGTCCACACGATGCCAGGGGAGCACTTGTTCCTGTCGGGCGCCTTTGACAGGGGTGTGGTGCGCTTGAGGATCGTGTGAAGACGGCGGGCGACGGTAGAGAGATGGCTGCCCGCCAGATGCTGCTTCAGCTCGGGCAAGCGAACTGGGCACACAACACACACACCCAGACACAGCAGATGGACTGGGTGCCGGTCAGCTGGTGTGACTTACTCACTCACCGTCTTTGGGGTTCCTCCGGCGCTCAGCGGCCCTGAGAGTGTCGCGGTACTGGACCGCCCGCTGCAGCGCATCCTGCACGCCCTGTTCGTCTGCCGACTCGATGGCAAACGTCTTGAACGGCCCAGACTTGATTTGGACCTTGAAGGCGCCACGACCAAGAGTGATCTGCAGGCCACCAAACTCCATACTCTCGTCAGGATGTCGCATGCGGTCGGTCAACGCCTGCTCGGCCATGCGGGTGAGGGGCGAGGAGGAGGTCTCTCGTGAGGGTGAAGGGACGCTAGGGCGGGCCGATCGACGCGCGTCGACTGAGGCGTCCTCCCTGGCGACGCCGTGTTTTGCGCGCCGTTTCTTGGCGGGAGGTCCTTGCCTCACGAGCGGCGGTGGTGAGGGGAATGGGGGCGGCATGTCGGCATCACCTCCCTCGGAGGGCTCTTCCTTCTTGATGAATGCCGGCACTGCAAGTCCCTCCGTGGCACTGATGCCCTCCGCCAGGGCCTCGCCGCTGATCTGGGGGATGGTGGGGCCGCCCTCCATGGCCAAGTCCCTCGCCAGCTCGTTGCGCGCATTGATGGCGTGCTGGCAGGCACACAGAGAGACCGAATGAAGGCAGGCACATAACATGCATCAGTGGAGCGAGCAGCCCGCGCACCTGGAGGGATGAGTGTATGGCTTTGATCGACAGCGTTGGTGGTCCGAATGTGCCGCCCGGCTGCCCCGCCAGCTGGACGCGGTAGTGCCCAGCAGGAGGGCCGGGGCGCCACGTGATGCCGAGACGCTCATGCACCGAGGACGGGAGGGACTTGAGGAGGGCCTGCAGCAGGGCCTCGGCCTTGATCGTGCCGATCTGCGCGAAGTAGGCCCTCTGTTCATCACGGCCGCCCATATCGTCGTCCAGGTTATGCTCCTCCCTCTCTCTGTATGACGCGCGTGGCCTCCCCTTTTGACGCAGCGACTTGCTGACTCCGTGACCAAGAGGCATGGAGGACCTGCCCCTCTCCTGCTCATCGCCACCCGGCCCCCCCTCTCCCCCCGCCTCTCCCCCCGACTCATCTCGCTTCACTCGCACTCGCGCCCTCACAGTGATGTCGCTGGCGCGCCTCTTGCGGCGGTTGGTGGGGGTCTTGAGCTGTGGGGTGGCCGCCTTCGGCTGCTGGACCGATGACGCCACATGCGGGGCCTTGCTGCCCAGCGCATCGTCGCCCACGGCGAGGCCGATGGCGGTCTGCATGCGTGTCAGGTCGATCCGTCCAGGCAAGCGCATCTCCTCCTGCAGAATGTTGCGGCAGTGGAGTGTCTCATGGAGGGCTGTGATGAGGCCGAGTGTGGTCGAGTCGGCAGGGCTGATGGTGTGGGCGTGGGTGGCCGTCGAGGAGCCGACCTTGAAGCGTCCCTCAGCGGTGTGCCATTGGATGCACTGGCCTCTCTTGGTCTTCATGCTGAGGGGGATGATCGTGAGGCACCGATCGATGAGATCGTTGGCCAGATCCCCTTGCGCTATGGGGGACAGGGTGCGATCCAGTGGGGGCAGCGGACCTGATGATGAACACAACAGACAGCACACAGACGGTGTTAAGGGACAGGCCCTCTCTTTCTTTCTCTCTGCGTGTCAGTTGCCTGACTCACTAGTGTGACTAGAAAATCGTGAAGGTGCGGGGAGGGGCCTTTGTTCTCGGATCTTGTCTCGATGCGCCACAGCGTTCGCGAAGGCCGCCTCCAGCGTTTCCCTCGTTATGGGACTCTCGACGAAGAAACGCATTTTGTCTGCTGCACCTGGCCCTTCTTGAACGAAGAAGTTGCACCGATTCATCTCGAAGCCCATCTGGAAGGCTCCATCTGCAATGTACTCGGTCGCCTTCTTGGCCATCAGCAGCTCGGCGGCCACCGAACGGGCGTCGCGACGCAACAACTCTGCAGAAAGCACACAGAGACAGCTTTATAGTACACTTAGCGCTTTCTCCGTTTGCACTCACCGTTTGTCTGCATGGGCGCCGCTCCCTGCTTCTTCGCGTCAGCCACCTTGGCCACCACGTGCTGCTCAATCTGCCGGATGTCCACCTGGTCGGTCATGAAGTCAATGGCCTTGTCAAGCGCCTCCAGTAGCCCACGCAATGTGTCGGACTGCGGCGAGAATGCCCGCGTGGTGAGGTCGACGGCGAGTGACGACCTGGGCCTGACGACGAAGTGTGCGGTGCTTGTGTTCCAGAAGAAGCTGCCGCCCTGCTGGCTGCTAGGTGTCTGACGGGTCTTGACGAGCGACACCAGGTGGCTGGCATAAGTGTTGAGCCGGGACAGCACCAGCTCCTCGTCTAATGACGCGGGAAACACCACTGAACCCCCACAAACACAGCCAGCAACACAGACACACACATCCAGGGCCAGCCATGGAGGGCGTCCATGTGTGAACTTTTCAGGCTTTTTGGCATACATGATTCGTCCACTTCCACGGCCGCTTTCGACGGTCGCCGCCCAGCGCCCCCGCCCCCTCCCTCGGCCAATGCGGGCGGCACCAAACCTTCCGGCACATGAGGGAGGATATCTCTGACATGTGTGATGTCTATCTGGGCATCCGTGTATCCCGCATCAGCAGCCAGACGATTGCGGGCCTCCAGCGCCTCCAGGAAGGCCGTGACGCAGCCAGCGACGCTCCTCTGCCGGACGGGAATGTTCCGCTCCTCGCCTGAGGGCAGCCTGGCCTTGAAGCCGCCGTAGGAGCCGCATTGTGACAACCATGACACGTGCAGGCCGACCTTGTTCTTGCCGAAGTTGATGCCTCGTACAGCGGGGATGGGGTCGAACGGGGGGGCAGAGAGTGCCTTGTCGACGGGAGGGAAGTCCGCGGGGTCGACGCCCTTGTCTCGCTTGGACGTGACGGCCTCACGGTGCCTGAGGGCCTCGCGGAACGCCTCAGACACCCCGCGCTCGGTGTGCTCAGCAGGGGTGAAGAGGGTGATACCATCCTTGCCGTTGTTGAATGAGAACCGCCTGCATCCGAGAGAAAGAGAGAGAGAGAGAGACAGAGGGGCAGACAGACAAGCCCCATCCACCAGTGTCTGTGCCAGCAGCATGGATATCTATGATAGATGGGTGGATGGCTCACCGCCGCTGAGGACACCATGCGATATACACTCCCCCGTCGCTGAGACTCATTGACGCTCTCTTGGCATCGATCAGACGCTGCGCCAACTGCGTCTCATCGATGGCACTCAAAGAGGCGCTCACACGGCCATTGGCCGATGCAGCGGCAGCAGCAGCATCGCAGTCGTCTGTGAATGGCGGTGTGTGGTGCCCCTCGAGGTATGTCTGCGCCATCCCCATCCCGCCCAGCCGCTGGGCCATGGTGAGACCCTCTTCCTGATCCTCATCATCCATGTCATCTGCAGCAAAAGGATTCGTTCACACATACGTACACACGGATAGATGGCTGGCTGGCTGGTAACAGCAGCCCCCTCAGTGCACTCGCGTCACCTTGGTGCATGGCCCTATCTACGGCTACATCCTGACATACATCCTGACAGCAACAACGGACGCACGCAGAGAGAATTCGGATTCCACCACACCCACACTCGTGCATCTATTCTGGCATCACTCCCTCACCATTGCATCGAGCCTCTCGCCATTGTTGAGTCCACGTGAGTCGCCTTGCGCCGCCTCGCTGTGGTCTGGCAGGGGAATCGCCGCCGCAGCAGCAGCGGCAGCGGCATGCGACCCTGAACCGTAGCCATTCGTACCTCAATTTGTTAAATCATACAAGCGTGTGGGAACAACACAACAGAAATGAGCAGTCGCCGGGGAACATCGCATATATATTGAATCAAGCTTACTCTCGGGGTGCTGCATAATCAAGCGATTTCTGCGATTCAAGTCAAGACGTCATGCGCGTCGTGCCGCTCGCCGCGGTCCGGTCAGGGCATGGCTGCAAATACGGGTTTGACACTCCATCTGTGACGTTCCTGGTGCCACTGTGCCTGCTCACCTCGGGACCATCGGAGCGCAGAACACGCAGTGCGTCGAGTTTCTTCGTACCCTTCCTCTATTCGACGGCTGCACACTCATCATTACCTTCTGACACAGCTGTGCCTAGGGCACACGTGAAACCGTCGCGAGATGGAGCTCGCACTTGAAGACGCTCTCTTTGGGACGTCCACGTCTCTTTGGTGACCCGTTAGCTTGTGTTTGTGACCCCGTTGGCTTGTGTGCAGCCAGTCGCAGTGACTGTCCAGTCAGATGAAGTCTGAGGAGGTCTGCACGGCGCCTTCGCCCACAGATGGTCCCACGGAGTTCTACTGGTCCAACGAGCACGAGCCGCACGCCAGACGACGGAGAGAAATCGTCGCCAGGCATCCTGAGGTTCTCGGCCTCTACGGACCCGACAGTCGCGAGGCGGTATTCGCGTCGGCATGCATCCTCATCCAGTTCGCCGTCGGGGCGGTCATCGGCTTCTATGCTCAGCAACTCAGCTGGGGAGCGGTGTTGGTGCTGACCTACTGCGTGAGCGGGACGATCAACCACTCTCTCTTCCTGGCGATGCACGAGTGCGCCCATTCGTCGTTCTTCACGTCCAAGTGGCAGAATGAGTGGTTCGCTGTTCTGGTCAACCTGCCGACGGGCATCCCCGCGGCCATCACCTTCAAGCGGTACCACATGGAGCACCACGCGCACCAGGGCGTCGACGGCGTCGACATGGACATCCCCACCCACGCAGAGGGGTGGTTCTTCCGCACACCGGCGCGCAAGCTGCTGTGGGTCGTCCTCATGCCCTTCATGTACGCCTTCCGGCCGCTGCTCATGAAGCCCAAGCCGATGTCCTTGATGGAGGCCATGAACTGGCTCTGTGTGGCCGCCAGCGATGTCGCCGTCCTCTACTGGCTCGGCCCCAAGACGCTCTTCTACTTTGTGGGCGGGACCTTTCTGGGGACGGGGCTTCACCCGCTGTCGGGTCACTTCATTGCGGAGCATTTCGTCTTCATTGAGGGGCAGGAGACCTACTCCTACTACGGCCCGCTCAACTGGCTGACCTACAACGTGGGCTATCACAATGAGCACCACGACTTCCCCCGCATCCCCGGCAGCCGACTGCCCGCCCTCAAGAAGATGGCCCCCGATTACTACGACAACCTGCCGGCCTACAGCAGCTGGTCACAGGTGCTCTGGGACTTTGTCTTCGAGTACGACGTCAACTGCTTCAGCCGCATCAAGCGACGGCGGCAGGTGCCCAACGCACAGGCGGGCATTAGCGACGAGGGCAAGAAGGGCAATTGATGGACTGAATATGGATGTGGGTGGGTGGGTGGGTGGGTATGGATGGATGGATGGATGGCTGCATGAGGGGCCAAGGAATACGATCCGCTGTGTTAATACGTACGTGTGGATGCCTACCTGCACGTGTGGTGGGTGCCGTGGCGAAGGTTCCTTGTTTGTGTATCGCTAGCGCTAGTTTTTCATTGGTTGTTTACGCGAGCGGGTGATTTGCTGAGTGAGTGGTGCCGGCCCCATTTGGCTGAGTATCCTCTACTAGGCAATCACTTCTGGCTGCCTCGCCTGCGTCTGCTGCCAGAGTGGCTGAGTATTTTGCCCGGGTGTGCACCTGTATACGTACGAGTGGGTACGTGTGTGGGTGAGACAGGGCGGAGTGAAGTCATGTCACAATCATGACACAGTTGCACGTCTTTTGTGTGTCAGAGAGAGCGGGATGCTGGGCTGACCTCTTGTGCTCACTTGTACAGCCTGACTGACTGACGGGCGGGAGGAGTGGAGTGGAGCAGAGGAGCCTGCGTCTGTGTGTGTGTGGCAAGTCAAGCTAGATAGGCAAAGAAAGGCACGGGTAGGGATGGGTTGGGAGACCTTGCCGCCGGTCATTTCTTCATGGCTGGAGGGAAGGTGACTGCCACTACTCGACTCGGGGACCGCCCAATGGCCTCCACTCAAAAATGATCCATCCAACCGTGCACACGGCAAAAGTCTCTTCTCGTCCCCACATACACACGAACACACACATCAATATAACCGACACGCACACGAGCGCTACACACAGAGACATCCGCTCACCCACACATGTGACTGACATGCCGATCATGTTGACATCTCCCCTCCATTTCCGTGCCATCCGCCCGCCTCCTCTGGACTCACGCACCAGAAGCTGTCTTTGCCTCGATGAGCTTCTGTTTGATGGTGTCTAGCAGGGCCACGTGGCGTGTCTTGAGAGGCTGCTGCATCCACTCAGGCACACTCGACCGGACGTCGACCTGCACACAAACAACATGACGATCATCGTGAGACACAGACAGAAGGAGGACCTGTGCAACCTGTGGGTGTCGGGTGTGGTGTCCTCTCACCTGCTCTACGTAGGCGATTTGCAGAGTGCCGTCATCGAGCTTGCGACACTCAAAGCCCACCAACTAAAGCAACAAACACCAAACCCGTACAGATGAGATGACTGTGTCTCCCTGTCTGTGTCAATGTCGCCTACCAGTATTTCGCCCCTGAAGTGCGTCTCCGATTCATACGGCAGCTCGAGACCCGTTATCGACTGCACCTGGTGATCCCCCGAACCACCCACCTGCAACCCAATAAGCACACAGACACACAAAAATAAGGATGAGTGATTTTCTCGACGGTCTTTACTCACTCGACGAGAGTAGTGTCTGAGGCATCCGTAGTCCCTGCCAGGAATGCCGATGAAGGGCGAGTAATCCGCTATGTAAGACACGTCCATTTTGGTGTCGTCACCCGTCGGCACAGGCACGTCAGACACCTTACACACTGCAAACCCACCCAGCCAGCCACCCCACCCCAACCAGCCGATGGACGTCCGTGCATTCCCAGATGCACGCACCGCCCCGTACCTTTCTCCACAAGTGGGTCGTACACTTTGAGGTTGTTGCTGTCCCACAGGTATGCCATAACGTCGTCCACCTCTAGCCCGCCGTGGCCCCCCATCTCCTCAGGGCGGATCAGCACACGCCCCCGGGTCATGAACACCTCACCAGCAGCCGAACGCGACCATGCCTGCACGAAACAAACACCGGCAAGGGCAATGAGCACCACACACTTCACGGGTCGGTCTTTTACTACCTCTGTCTTTCCGAAGTGTCCGATGGACGTCCATTCCATCGGGGCAAGGCTGTGGTCGGCTGCTGGTGAAGTGTCGTCAAGATCCAGAGAGGCCCGCGTGCTCTGCGGCGCCAGCGACGTGACGACGGATCCCTTCAACTTGGGAGGCGACAGATCGCTAACGCACCGGAGCAGCCTCTCTGACGCACTCACGCCCTGATGAGATACAAAGGAGCAGTATACGTCTTCAGGGGCGCCCTCTGTTGTATCTTATGCGTTCCTTTGTGCATGCCTTTTGTAGGAGCCCTTCGACAACATGCCTGCAGACAGCCACATGGATGGATGGGTGGATTGGTTCTGTGCGTTGCGTGGTGTGGTGTGTGTAGGTATCTGGGACAACTACCGCTCTGTGTTGAGCGCTACTTTGTGGATATCTCTGTTGGGGGTGGCGACCGTCCGCTGCTGGGTCGCCATTAGGAGCTAATATACAACTAGAAAAACTGCCCTCACGCGTCTGCAAGCTCAACCTGCGGGCGAGACGCCCCCCCAGCGCATGCACGCCAGGCGACCCCACCTTCGCCTTTCTCCTTGCAAGTCTCATTATGGCGGCCGCGGCGGCAGCTGAGCCTTTAAGTCACGTGTCTGAGTTCGATGAGTCGATGCAGTGGATGGACACCATCTGGCGGAGAAGCGGCAAGCGGCTGCACTTCTACGAACCCGCACTGCGGTCCTCCTTCTGGCTCACAAGGATTGTAAGCTCACGCATTCATTCAGTGCAGGCAGACCCACCACAGTCAAATGGGGACGCCTGTGCGTGCAGATATTCCTCCGTGCTCTCGGCTTCATATACCTCGTCGCCTTTATGGTTGCAGCCTTTCAAAACGTGGGGCTGATCGGTCGCCGCGGCCTCACGCCCTTTCACTACCAAGTCGACCGCCTATATCAACAATGGGAGGGCGAGAACGCATCCTTCTGGGAGCGATACTCACAGCTGCCCAGCCTGTTTGTGTTCTTGCCGGCATCCGACTTCTGGCTGCAAGCCATGGCGTGGCTGGGGATCGTCTTGAGTGTCCTGGTGCTGGTTATGGGTGCCGGTGCAGGGCTGATTCTGCTGGTGCTGTGGATCCTCTATGCGTCCATCAGACACGTCGGGCAGCTTTGGTATGGCTTTGGATGGGAGTCTCAACTTTTGGAGACGGGCTTCCTCGCAAGTGAGAATCCGAACATGGCCTTACAAAGGACGGGATATGTGGTGCCTTCCTGTGTAATTTGCATGCAGTATTTCTCACCCCCTTTTGGACATTCAAGGAGCTCCCAAGCAGCTGGCCCCCACCGATGGTGTGCGTGTGGGGCTACCGCTGGCTCATTTTCCGCATCATGATCGGAGCCGGGCTGATCAAACTCAGGGGAGATGAGGTGAATTAATCCATGTACGTGATGAGGGAATTGTCCCATACATGGGTGTCCATGTGTGCGTGTGTGTAGTGCTGGCGAGATCTCACTTGCATGGGTGGGCGACGAGAGCGAGGAAGAAATGGATGGAGAGACACTAGCCGCCGATGTCCGTGTGTGAATGATCTCTCTCTCTCTCTCCCTCTCTCTCTGCATCAGAGTATCACTATGAGACCCAGCCCAACCCCAATCCACTGTCGTGGTACTTCCACAATAACTGGCGACCCTTTCATTGGTTTGAGACCCTCGTCAACCACATCATTGAATGCGCACTGTCCTGGAACACCCTCATACCGCTCCGGGGCTGCAGGCTTATTGCAGGCGGCTCACAGGTCAGCGAGGCAACTGGGGAAGAAAGAAGACCGGTGATGTCTCAGTGCTTTGCATGGGTGTGTACGTGCAGGTAATTTTTCAAGTGGTTCTCATCTTGTCAGGGAACCTGTCCTTCTTGAACTGGCTGTAGGACCAAAGACAGATATACATACTTACTTTCTTACTCCCCTTTCCTCGCTTGTAGGACGATCCTCCCATCGATCTTCTGCTTCGATGACGCCGTCTTCGCGTCAGTGACACGCAAATACACACATGCATACAGGGCGCGTGATCAATCGAGTCTCCCTTTGCAGGTGCATCTTCCCCCCCTGGTACCGCAACCGCGTCAAGCGCCTCATCGGGAGCAAGGAGGAGACAGAACCGCTCACGTACGACATCGCATATCTTCCGATGTACGACCGCATCTTTCGCTTCATCTGCAAAGCCATACACACCCGAGTTGCCTCACCAGCACGCCCAGGACCCATGGAGCCGTCAGCACCCTCCCCTGTCCAGCCACCGCCGGACATTGAGCAGTCGGGAAGTGAAGACACCCACCCCCTGCTTGTCGATGACGACCGTGAGGGCGTCCGAAGGCAGGTGGCCCCCGGGCAGCAGGGGGCATACGTCCAGGGAGAAGGCAGGGCGGCCGAGTACCAAACAGGGGAGGAAGGCGGCATGAGGGAATGCCTCCGTCGGTCCAGCGCTTCTCAGCTGGCTCGTCTGGAGGCGAAGGAGCGGAGGATCAGAGCCAAGGGTGCGGAGGAGTCGGAGAGCGACCCGCAGGATGAGATGTTGCGTGGGCGGGGTCGGCTGAGTTGGGCCGGGGTGTGGCTGAGTCGTGTGTGGCTGGTGCTGGTGCAGCTGGCCCTTCTGTACATGATTGTGCGGCTTTCCATTCCGGTTGTCAAGAATCTCATTTCTCTTCACCAGGTAGGTACTTGAGACAACCAGAAAAGCCATGGATGATGGGCCAGACCACGCCGTTGCCGTGCGTACGTACCTGTTTGTCCGGTCCGCAGGCTATGAACACGAGTTTTGACAGCTTTGAGCTGCTCAACACATACGGTACGGTAGATGGATGTCTGACAGACATGCAATCATATTATTATGCATGGAATGGAGAAGGGCTCTCTCTTGTTGTTTGCTGCTCAGGCGCATTTGGGAGCGTGACCAAGGTCAGAAAGGAGGTCATCATCATGGGCACAAACGACGAACATCCCGTAAGCAGACCCTCCCTCCCCCGCCTGGCCCAACCAACGCAACGCGTGTTGCCACGTGTGCAGACGGCATCGAGCAACTGGCAAGAGTATGAGTTTATCTGCAAACCAGGCAGGGTGGACAGGCGGCCCTGCACCATCTCCCCCTACCACTACAGGCTCGACTGGCTCATGGTACCCACAGGCACACAATCTCACCCCATTGTGGCAAGAATGATGTGTCTCCGTCTTATGTAGTGGTTTGCGGGTTTTGGTGCCAAGGAGGGCGGGTGGCTGCCCCACGTAGCATACAAGCTGCTGCGAGGCGATCAGAATGCTCTCTACCTCATGGCCCACAATCCTTTCAGAGATGCACCCCCCAGACACATACGAGCGGCACACTTCGTGTACAGGTTCACCAACAGGGCAGAAGTGGGATTCTTCGGGCCGCTATTCGGCCAGGGTGAGTCCATCAGATAGGTGACAACGATGAATTGCAAGCGCTTCGTGCGCTTTGGCATGCCATGGATGTCTCGCTCTGTCTCTCTGCGTGCGGTGCATGCAGGTCCGTGGTGGAAGAGGGAGTTTGAGGCGGAGTATCCGTTGCTTGGCGGGGAGTCCATCGTATCACTCGACAGCCCAGCCTTGAAGGAATACGCACGCAAGCACAAATGGGACACATGACATGAGGCAAGAGAGAGACCGACCCGACAGCTAAGTTCGTGATTCAGCATGGGAGTCAGCACACGAGCCGCCCCATCATCTAGATATCTAGCGGTCCTGATGCGATGCCATGGATGATGACGGTGAGTGGCCAAGTCGAGTTCATTCCACAGACAACCAACATACATACATGGATGCGTGAAAAGCTACGACATCAGCGCGCCACGTGGCCAGCTCTCCTGCTGCTCTCCATGTCACTGAAAATGCAGACACATACACACACATATCATATATATACGTCACATACATTGGATATGCACCAAGAGACACATCTTGGCCCTTACGTGACGAAATGCAGGATTGCGAGAAAGAACAGGGGGTCGATGCCCGTCAGCACATAGCTCAGGTGTTGGTCATAAGTGAGCGTCAGAGACAGTGTAGAGCCATCGAAATACGCCTCTGCGAGGTCCGACTCGCTGAATGACCCCACCTGCCTCCAGCTGTGCCGCGCACTGGCCAACGAAGTGGCCCACTCATGAACGCGCAGACAGGCACCTGCATGAAGCGGACATGTAGAGAGTTGGGGTGTGGATGTACGAAGTGGTTCCGCCCATTTAGTACTTACTTGCATCGTATTCGTGAAGGACGTAGAAGAGGGGCCGCTTGGAGACCGGCACATCGGTGCCGTTGCGATACATAGCAGTCATCACCCACACACCTTGAGACAACAGACACAAGGGACACATCGCCCTCCCTCCCTCCCGCCCTCCTGTCTACGAGTCTTCTTCGCTTGCTCACCCTGACACGCAGCGGCATACGCCGCATTGACGTCCTCCCATGTGCACCTCTCATAGGCCGCCAGCCCCCGGCCCCCCACAATGCTCGCCAGGCCTCTCACCAACATGCGATCTTCCCTCGATGCATCGGCGGGAGGCGCTCTGATGAGAGGTGGCAGCGACTCAGGAGGTGTTTGTCGTTCCGAGGGCCTTGGCCAGCTATACCACCCACTGCTCCTTCCACCCCGCGTCTCAACCCTCGACTGTTCTCCAAAGTCACCTTCGTCGCGACGAGGCTGTTGGATTCCCTTTCTCGCTCGACGGTCTTCCGGTGAGCCGTTGTGGTCACTGCCTGGGTCAAGAGGGGGAGGGGCGGGTGGAGGGGGGAGCAGGGGAACGGGGGGCGAGGGACGCTGCAGCTGCGTCAGGACATGCCGCAAGATGCAGCCCTCCCCTCCTTCCGCGCAGGATGGCTGCTCGCTCGTGGTGGTCTGAGGTCCTCGCACACGCTCCAAGGGCCCTGTCGACAGGGGCTGCCATATGGCTGACGGCAGCTCGCTGTGTCTCAAAGAAACCTCATAACGAGGCTCAACCGCCGAAACAAGCCGCCGCAGCTGTTGTAATACTTATCCAGTCTCCCCCACGCCGCCATCTGGATGCTTCAGATTCTGCGCTTGCTCAGCAGCTGCTGCAGAGGTTGCCTCCGGGGTGGCCCCCGTGAGTCTGCCGTCGACGGCAGTGACAAGCGTGGCTGCCTCACTCCGTGACACGGGCTGCTTGTGGGAAGCATCGGTGTGAGGCCAAGCAGGCGAAGCATCCACCTGCTGCGGGAAGGTGGGGGTCGGTTGTCTCGGTGCAGAGGGAATAGGATACCGAAGCACGTGCTGCAGAGGCACACAGAACAGGACAAGAGGCTCTTCACGCCTCAGACTTGAACTGCAGTGACACTCACTTACCTTTTGCTTCGCAAGAAGGACGATTCGTTCGAGGGCGTCATTGTTCTGTTGCAGCCGACCCTGAAGCGACCGGAGGCTCGTCTTGACGCTTGGGTCCATCAATTTAAACGAACAACGACGCCATCGACGAACAGACCAAACGGCAATTTTAGCTCGCAATGCAATCGTCGAGAATCGCGTTGCGGTACAGTGTGCGGAGAGGGCTCGTCTGGGTGCGCAGCAACAGCAGTCTGGCTCCAACATTGAGAGAGAGGGCTCGTGCTTGGGGCAAAGACGATGCTTGGGCGTGATTCTGACGACAGCAGAGCTGAGGAAACGAGGAGGTGCATTGATAGGAGGGCAGAGAAGGAGAGGAAGAGGGGCGGCACCAGTGCCCCAAACAGGCGTGCCGGACGCGCCATGAGGGCGGCTGGGATCTTATCGCTGCTCAGTTTGGTGGCACAAGCGTCCGGCTTTGCGATGATACCCAGGAATCCCTTCATTGCTGACAGCCCTTGGCCAATCGCTCAAGTATGGGCCGCCAACACTCATCGATCTGATCTGACCCCCTTCTGTGCGTGTCGTGTGTGTGTGTGTGTGCTCAGTGTAACAACTATGCCCAGGCGTCGACGCTGCTGCCAGGTCCGTTCGAGAAGGGCGGCGCCAAAGTGGACGCCCTGCTCGACTACCGACTGGCAGACCCCATCAGCCTCCTGTACACATCCGACGGCAAGGTCGTCTGGGGGTCCTCCCTCACCCACGTCTTCAAGCTCGACCGGTCCACCAAGAATCTGCGGATTGTCGACTTGGTGCCGAAGAGTGAGGAGCTGCGGCAGAATGACACTTTCCACGGGGCGTACAGCGTGCTGAGCAGCGAGGGCATCTACTACACGGCCACGCTCTTCTCCATCGAGGCGTATAAGGACAAAGAGGAGGGCAACTCGACCTCCAAAATCAAGTTCTTCAAACGGTGAGGCGAGTGACGATATTGAGGCATGGCGGCGCAGTGATGGGTCTGTCTGTTGCGCTGTGTGTAGGTGGAAGATGGATGACCGGCTGGAGAGTGAGAGCATCATCGGTCTGAGCATGACGTATGACGGCGTGCTGGTGTTCGGCACCAACCGCGGCCGCATCGGTGTGCTCTCCCGCAACCTGGAGCGCCTCATCGACATGGTCCATCTCGCCGACGATGGCGACAAGGTCACCGTGTCCAACAGCCTCGCACTGGATGAGGATGGCGGCATCTACTCTGTCACATCGAAGTCAGCCACCCAAGACGTCCACATAGAGAGACCTCATCTCGTCCATGCCCCCGGTATGTGTGTGTGGCTGTAGGTATCTGCACAAGACCTTTTGGGACCCGATAGAGCAGGAGCTGCGGCCAGCGTGGGACGGCGAGTATGATGTCGGCGATCACGGAGGGGCGGGACGGCTGTCGGCGCAGGGCAGCGGAAGCACACCCAGCCTCCTGTTCCATGAGAAACACGGACGATTCGTGGCCATCACGGACGGCGGCAGCCTCATGAATGTGGTGGTCTTCAACGCCACTAGTGGTGCCAAGCTGGCCGAGCATCCTGTGACCTTCGGCGACCCGAGGGCAGCAACATCATACTCAGACCAGGCAAGAGATCGGCACAACACAAAATCCATTTCACGACCCTCTCTGTGTATCTGATGTGCAGTCCATTCTGGTTAGCGGTATGCGCATGGTGGTGGTCAACAATGCCCTCACTCGACGAGGCGAGCTGGTCGAGTCCGCCCTGCAGCTGGCTGTCGGCGGTCCAGACGGCATCGAGCACATCGTCAAAGCACAAAACCTGCCACCTGTAACCACACCATACGACCAAACTCACACGGGCAGAAAGAGCCCTTTCCCTTTCCCTCCTTGTGTGTGTTCGATCTGCAGATCATATCAGAGGTAGCGGATTTGTGGCCGGCGTTGCTGGGTGACGCCCCCCGTGGTGTGGAGCAGTTTGAGTTCGACCCCGTGTCTCGTTCGCTGCGGACGACGTGGGCGCGTCCTGACCTGGCCATCCCCAACGGCATCCCCACCATGAGCGAGTGGACCGGACTCATGTACGCCGTCGGCAAACGCAAATGGAGAGGCGCATGTGAGCGACAGACACTAGAGACAGAGATGGCATGTGCAGGCAGACCGCGATGTGATACTGTTGGGTCTTGTGTCGTATGTCTGTGGTTGTTAGCGTCCGCTGAGTTGGGCACAGGTTGGTGGTCTCTGGAGGCGCTGCACTGGTGGACGGGCAAGGACGCCTTCACGGTGCGGCTGGGTGACGGGCCAAACTACAACAGCCTCTACGCCGCTACCGAGATCGGCGTCGGAGAAATCATCTCGGGTGTCCTCGGTGAGTGCCCTCGGCAGCATCCATCCACACTTGTGTCCCCCTCTCGGTCTGCTTGTGTGTGTGTCTGACTGTCGACCATGCAGGTGGCGTGGTCCGTGTGCGTCAGGAGTCTCTCTTCCTGGACGGCACCCCCAACAAGCCTCCGACGGCGGCAAGCGGCGGCCAGCTGCAGCAGCGAGGTCTCGAGTCTGTGCTGGGTCTCAACATCACCACCCTCACGAACATGCCCCCCAGATTCAGGGGCCGCAGGGGCGACGGCAACGGCGAGGGCATTCTGCAGCGCGACATCGGCCGCGAGGGCACCAGGCGAGAGAACGGCGCCAGACGGCATCAGGACAGCCATGAGATTGGGGGCCGGTTTGACGGCAGCCTCCTGAGGATCCCCGACAACCCCATCACGACCTACAGCGAACTGATCACATACCTCAGCTCGCCAGATATGATCGCCAGCACCTCCACGGTGCCCACGAGCACCGGCAATGGCAAGGGGCCGCGGCGCGGACAGAATGGGGGGCCTTTGCTTAGCGGGAAGCGTGTGGATCACTTATTGAGCAACGGGCCGGTCCTCAAGCCGATCCCTCCGCCTATCCCTGCACTTCCGTTGATGGCACCTGAGGGCCTCAACGCCGTGCATGACAGCATCAGCGACCCAGCAGCAGCTGCCGTCATGGCAGCGGTGACACACAATGCAGAGGAGCAGCGCAACGCCTCCACGGCAGCAGAGGCAACGGCGAGACAGAATGAGGCGCAGAAGGAGGAGACAGGGGGGAAGGGGGCTGGCAGTGAGCAGGCTATCATCCCTGTGAGAAGCGACATTGACTTGGAGGCCTTGCTGACCTCGTTGGGCGGCGAGTCGGGCGAAGAGGGATCATCCTCATAGACATTGAGAAGTGAGGGCGAGAGAGATATATAGACTCATGGATGTGTGTGTTCTTTGTTACATCATTCGTGTCCTTTTATTCCAAAACGTAAGGGGGCCCTGGAAACGGGCGGGTGGGCGGGCGGGTGGGCTAAATCGGAGTGTGTGGATGTGTGAGATATATGCGTACGTGTGTTGGTAATTCCTGTGTATCTAGCTGGAGCGGCCGATCATGCACGCTCCTTTCTTCTTGCTTGCTTCCTTCCTACATCGGTTCCTTCCTTTCTCCCTCCCCCGGCCCTCTCTTTCTTTCTGCATTGATTCACTCATTGATTGATTGATTGATTGATTCGTTCATAGATGAAGTGCGCTGTGCTGTCCGCTCGCTCGACAACCCAAATGGTGGGACTGTCTGCGAGAGTCAGCTGGCCAGCCAGCCACCATGACCCTCTGATCGTATCTTCTTCTGTTGCATTGCATGTTCGAGGGGACGATTTCATGAATCCTAGACACAGATGAGATACATGGTGCGTCGCTTTAGTGGGCGCGACTCGCATGGCCATGTGTGCGTGGATGTTCATGTATTGCTCGCTTTGTTGTCGCACCGGTGCATGGTGAATGTTGAACCGTAAATATTGACATTGCCGGTGCTCACCCGAACGCGAAGATGCTTGGAAGAACCTTAGAGGGCCCACGGCCCGTAAGCGATGGACGTACCATCACCCACAAAAAGGACGCGCATGGCACAGCTCACACAGGCAGCCATCGTAGGCCGCCGTTGGCGGGTATGCCGATTGAGTGACCTTGTCATCATCATGAGCCTTCTCCTGCCGGCTGCCTCGGTAGGTGCACCCACACACCACTGCACGAGACGGGGATGCATGTCGGGGGGCCGACGGGGGCTTTACAATGACAATGTTGCCATCCGTCCGGTGCCGTGGCACTGAATCACACCGGTGAGCGATGGGCTGTGCACAAGAGACGCAGTGAGGCAGCCCCGTCTCATGTGCGGATGATGCAGCCGGAGTCTCATCGCATCGCTCGCTGGCCGCCACGCTGCCCACTGGCCATGGCGGGCTCCAGTTGGCCGGTGAGGACCCATGTCTGATGCCCGACAACTGGCAGAAGCGGTGGAAGAAGATTATCGGAGGGGAAGTCATGCTAGAGATTTATCGGAGGGAGATGACGAAGCCTCCCGGCTTGACTCGCAAGACCCTGAAATTCGAATGGTACACCGCGTGTTCCCCGTATTCTTTGGTCTTCATGCTCACATCTTTCCATCCAAGTGTGCCTTCAGGTTGGAGCCTGGCGAGAAGATAGCCGAACCGCCCCTGTTTCAGGTCAACACCGACCTGCCTGCAAGCAAAGGGGTCGGGAGAGAGGCCGTCTGCAGCATCCACTACTGGGTCCAGCTGATCAAATGGTTCTCCCCCCTGTCCACTTCCACTTCACTGCGCGAGTACGGCTACTGCGGCCAGCAGGGAGACCGCGTGTGTGCCTGTGTCTCCATGCCTGGAGAGAGCTTCAAGCAGTGCAAACCCCTCGAGGGAGAGCCGACGGCCGAGCAGGACAACGAGGCGACGAAGCTGGGCAGAAAACTGGCCAGCCTGCTGCCCCCCGCCGGCGGCGACAAGAAGGGAATGGGACAGCAGTGCACCAAGGACGACGACTGCTACACGCCTCACCTCGTGGCCGAGTACCAGAAGCCAGGCATCAAGTGCTTCAAGGCGGAGAAGAATGCCGCGGACGGAATCTGCAAGGTGACCGAATGTGCAGCCATACACGCTCGCGTACACACGTGTGTGTGGGTGCAGCTGGAAGCGGCCGAGGGCGAGGTCTGCGACAGGACCCACGAGTGCGGGCCCCGGCTTGGCTGCTTCAAAAAACTCTGGCTTTCCGGCAGCCAGCGTACTTTCGGTACAGGAACGTGCAAGAAAATCTGATTGTAAGGCAGCTGGGCAGGCAGCCGAGCAAAGAGAAGACAGACCGACAGACAGACACTGAAATTGATACGTTTCGGTAGCTCTTTCTTTTCTTTTTTTTCTTGAGAGAGAGGCGAACTCGAAGCTGCGATTAGGCGACGGACACACACATACATACAGACACAGAAATGGACACAGGTTTTTTTTAGTCGCTAACTAAACGAACGCCGAGGCATGCCAGACGGCTGCAAAAAGTCCAGTCCACCGGCAAGGTGTGCTCCCTGACCGACGGCTTTGACGGGCAAGAGCCTGGCTGCGGGCGAGTGCAAGGGCGGTACAGTCGTCGATCTGCAGCTGCAGCCCCGTCTCCCGAGCAATCGTGGGCCAAATAATCTGTGGAGCCCATACGACTGACAAAACGGTTGTCGCGGACAGCGCAGACACTGAAAATCGAGAACCGACCGACAACGTCCAGCCAGATGGTTTCTTCTGTATGGCTGGATCGATGGATGGATGGACGGAGACACCAGCCTGGGTGCAGGGTTTCGAAGTGACTGAATCGATTCGATGGCCGGATGCGTTTGCAAGTCCGCCAACCGATTTATTGATCATGTCTCAAAACGAAGAGGCACGGCACAGACAGACAGACAGCTACCGGTCTCATGTGGGGTGGGTATCCAAGCCCATCCATCCATCCATCCATGGCATGAAGCCATGACCCAATAAACGATCAAAGACAGCTGGCGGGAGCTTCTTGCTAGCTGTC